CCTATTGTCAAGATAATCATGGAGTGTGATTTATTTTCAACTCAAAATATCTTCAAAGTAACGAAATATAAAGTTATTAGGGAGGAAAATCAGTCTGATAACAGCAGACTGTTCGTATCTGAAAAAAATCTTAAAATATGAAAACATTGGTGAATGTGATGAGTTCTCCTAAATCACTCGTACGCACAACTTAAGAACAAATCTGTGCGTACGACAGTTCTTGCATGAGGCCCAATGTTTAGATGCACAAGTTTCATTTATTTTCAAAATTCTTTAAAAAAAATATTGATTTTTTTATGTTTTATATTCATTTCATCCTGGAAATGGAACAAACTAAACAAATCATTAAAAACCCAAAGTTAATGTCGTCCATGACGTGGAAACTTTTGACCTGGACTGCAGGTCCACTTGAGAACCTGAACACCGGCTTAAAACAAAAATCAAGCCTGAAAAGCTCGACCAACACAGCTGAACCGCTCACCTGTTCCCAAAGGATTTCAGCCACCTTGTCGATGACTCCTCCCACTTCACGAAACTCTCCAGAGTATTTGACATAAGCCCAGACGCAGAGCGCTGTYAGAGCTCCTCCCATCACCAGATTGCACAACATGGCCACAGATCTGATCCCCAAAAAGCCAGTGACCAACGATATTGTGTACATGATGAACATGACAGCGAACAGGGCGGCGGGCGTTCGCGCAGCGTAAAAGATGTTTTTGCCGTCGTTGTGCTTGCTGAAGTTTGCGTAGGCTTCATCCAGCTCCACCTCTAGCTGCTCCTGGTAGCGCTTGCAGAAGTCCTCGCCCCCCATCTTCTTAACGGAGCGAAAATGTCGCACAGCTGACTGTCGCAGCTCGGCGTGACGGTGCTCCAGCTCTGCTGGAGAGATGTACGGTTTGTCTCCGCCGCAGACCTGACGGGTGCAGAACACTGGTAATGTTTGAGGAAACATAAACCTGGACCTCTGAAGAGCCACTCTTTACCTGTTCCATGCTTTTGTTGTACATGTCTTTGGCTCCCGCTACAGCWGCCAGGTTATTTGCTTCAGATGTTGCCTAGGCAAAAAACAACAGCATATTTACCATTAGTGATGAGGCAGAATGTAGGAAAACTAACATGAACAAGTAAATCAGAAATAAATTTTCTACCACAAATATTACCTGTCATTTCTTAAGAACTCATAACCCAGTTGATATTTTGTTTTGAGACAAGTGGTTAGGTTAGCAACATTCAGATTTTACTTTCTCTGAGACCTGCTGTACCAGGACCTGAGTGGCCAAGCCTGGTCCTGGAGGGTCACAGCCCTTCATGTTTAACTTGTTTCTCTGCTCYGACWCACCTGATGCAGTCATTTAATTACCTCATCCAAGTTCTGCAAAAACTTGATAATTGCCCAYTCATTGAAATCAGGTGTGTTGGAGCAGAAAAAAACAAAAACATGCAGAGAGCAGGTCAGAACGAGCTGTACGACTGCGCAGACAACAATTTTTGTTTAAGAAAAACACCACCCGGCAGTGCTTCACTAACCTTCCTACTTTTAAGTTAATTTCTTTGGTCTGAACCAACAGTCTGTTGAGTTGGAAAGCGAACGCTCTCGTGCTTCACGAGGATGCAGCTGGCTCTCCAAGGAGAACCAGCGTCTTTGCATAAATCAAATAGTTCTTCTGTTTTTATTTAAAGGCACAGTGTGTAGGATTTGTTGTTTTCAGCAACATCTAGTGGTTGAGTGGTTGAATCATCCTCCC